GCTCAGCAGTCTGTTGTATGATCCCTCCAGGCGATTCTGATGCACGCACACTGGAGAATCACTGAGTTAGAAGGTTAAAGGGAAGAAAAGATACGAGATTTCAACCATAATGGCCAGTCCCTTCTCTCTGAAACAGAAGACAATGTAAACGCAGGGATGAGGCTGGGGGGCTTGGAGAGATTAGTTTGAAAAAATCACCTTGAAGTATTGCAGACTTGTTGCATCCAGACCTATAAACGTGAGAAAGTGGCAGGGAACATGGGTATGCAAATTCCTTCAGCTGAACTTGACTGCTGGTTTCAAGGGGAATGTATGTAAAAGGAATTTGATAACCAGATAAATAATGTTACTAATTTAACTCAAAAAGAATAAACTGTACAACAGAGGCACTGCTGGAAAGAATGAAAACTGATAGGCTAGTTACTGATTACTCTTCACTCTTAAAGCTCATTCCTCGAAGTCTTTTACTGAGCAAATGTTTTAAGAAAGACTACGTGTACATAGAAGGAATAAAGGAACTTGTATTCATGTTTCATTATGAAAACAAGCTGCCACTGCAATTAGATAAAACATGAGTTTTACTGTGATGTAACATTTAGTTCTTGCCTATTTTCAAAGCCCTCTAAACTGGCTCATCATTCTTCACATTGTCAACAGGAAACGTATCATCCCCATTTTGCAGGTGGGAAAACCATGGGCAGAAAGAAGTGGGCCATTATGTCCATCAAGTTGTCTTGACTCTAAGTCTCAGGATCCATCCTGACACATGACCCTCGTGGGCATTCTGCAATACTCTGTTCCCCACTTTTTTGCTGACCTCACAAACAATACTGAGAAAACACGACCTACTTAGTAACTAACGCAGGCCTGAAGCCTAAGCTCCCCCTGGCCAGCCTGGTCCTTAGGCAAGGCAGTCTTTTATATAAAATATTCCTAAAAACCCTCGGCCCCCAGACCCTGTGGGGTTCCCTATTACCACACTCTGCCAACTAGTGCCACCCTCTCTCCCAGATCCCCCACTTTACCAGGATCACAAGGACATATGCAACTACTGCCAGAAATGTGGACTTTTCCTGGCATAAAATTCAAACAAAAAACCATTAAAAAGCAGCTAACATTTACTGAGCACCTACTGCTGTTGTGCACTATGCTATAATATAATACCCTGTCCTTACAACAACCTAGCACAAACAGGTATTCCTGTCCCCATTATACAGATGAGAATTCTGAGGTTCTCAAAGGCTGAACGACTGGCCCAACATCATTCAGCCAGTTGTGGGGCAGTATCCGTTATTTAAATCTACCATGTTCTAGAATCCACTGTATTTTCTCTGCCCCACTGGGCTGGCTCACCACTCTACAAGTACTTAGAGACCCTCAACAAAGTGGAAAGGGAACTGTGGAGAATGACAGGAGCTTTTTCATCTTCTCTGCCCAGCTCCCAATCCAGAGGTGAGGCTACTTCCACGGTGTTTCACGCGACTGGGCCCTGGAAAGCTGACAAGAGCCAAAAGGCTCCCTGGCAGGCTAGGCCTGGCAGCTGCCCAGCAGACTTATGCTAACACAGCAACTGGCACAGGAAAGGGTCAAAAGAGAGTGGAAAAGCACCAGACACGGAGCTGCTGAGTGAAGAGAAGTGATTCCTGCCGTGCTTGGACAAGATAATCCTGTGCCAAAGCCCCCACCATCACTGGGCCGGCAAGAGACCTGAGGAGCAGCAAGCAAAAAGCCCCAAAGCCTCACGCACATCCACTGACTAATGGGTGTCAGTGAATCGTGACTGCTGGGCAGTCATAGAGGTTCACATGCCTCCAAGGTGAGTCAGCGAGCATGGAAGAAAACCAGTCCATGCCCTGGTTCAGCCCAGCAGCTCCAACCTGCCTGTGCCCACATCCACATGAACCCTGCTACCGTCAGCTGAGGAAAGGCAAGGGAGTGGGCATTACCTCAGAGTCATGGCTGCAGCAGCTGGTTTCAGCCAGCCCAGGGGAAAGGAAGATGTAGTTGGGAATAACAGTAGACTCCCTAGAGGCAGAAATTCAGTGAGGACCTGCCCTTTTCAACTATTTTAAAAGGGGCACAAAGTGAGGCGGGAGGAAGGGAGCAACTTGGATTTCCAAAGATAGGGCTGCCTTAACCAGGCACTGGGTGACAGGGTTATTCTAAAATATCTGAAAATCCAAAAACGTCTTCATCTGTGGGAAAACTGTTTTGGTGGCGTTTCTGTAGTTTGTCTTCCTCGGCTGCTCTGCTTAGGCTGCCACACAGTGTGCACGTGCAAGGTGTCCAGAAGCATTCTGAAGGAAACCAGTCCTGGGATCCAATATTTGCCACAGTCGTTACATTGCTACAAAAATGTATAGCTTATTATCTCAGATTTCATTAGGAGGACAGGGACAATTTTAGAGGTCACAAGTTGGCAACCTACAGGTATATTAGCACGCGAAGAATCTTTCTGAAAAATGAATTGTCAGCATTTTGAAAATCAGGAGGTTCCACAAGAAGAAAAAACATCTGAATTTCTAACATCTCTTAGGTTAAAAAAAAAAAAAGGAAAATCTGTTAACACTGGGCAAGCAGTACAGACTGGAAGGAGCCCAATAGCCACTGTCCCCTGTAGGCAGACCTGGGCTTTTCTGCCGTCCTGAATGACCCCTGTGGGCATCCAGTTTTGCTTCTCTTGGTTCAGCCCAGTGAAGGGCTCCCAAGCTTAGTCATGCTCAGTACTACCACACGGTGGCAGCACTGGTCGGCCGATGAGGACTGCCCATCAGCCAGCGCCTGTTAAGAAGCCAAGGTGAGCAGATCCTTTCTGTACCAGAAATCTCATTCTTTGCTGAAGTAACAGACAACCCTTCCCCATACACCCTGGCAGACTGATTACCTGACAAGCAACAGCGGCTCATTTCGGCAGTCCCATTATGCTTCCACGACACTGAGGGGGTACCACCAACTTGCGGGTTCCCTCCTGCCCTGGCCAGCTCCCCCTGTTCTATAGCTAGCATCTTGACTGTTCTAGGAAACCTCCCCTCACCTAACCACTAATAGCATTCTCTCACCTAAAAAGTGCCAAACCCTGGGTCAGATTAGGGGAGAAAGAACCTGAGCTGAGAAGCAGGGCACACACCACCCCGGTTTTGTCATGACCAATTCGTCCTCCACCTAATACTCATTATTTCCCTTTGCTCACTTAGGTTAAATGCCAGGGAACTTCATGAGCAACAGGTTCCTATGCCCCTCACCCCCTCACCAGCAACATTGTCAGTGGTAGGGTTTACCAGAACTCCTACTTTCTTTAGGAAAGACATTGGTATCATATGTTGAGACCCTTCAAATTACTCATCCCATTTCATCCAAAATTTACTGTTCTACCCTTTACTCCCAAACGCAGAAAAAGCCTTCTATAAGATAGTCACTGCAGTACTTATACCAGTGAACCACCCCAAACCACCTGAATGTCCAGCAATCGGGAAACTGTCAAAAATAAACTATGCTATATTTGATTTGATGAGCAGTTATGCAGCTGTAACAAACAACAGACTATGAAGAGCACATGATAAGATGGGAAAATTATTGTAATATGAAATGCTATGTGAAAAAAGAATATAAAACTAAATGTAGAGTAATGACCCAAACCCAACCAAATCCACTGCCAACAAGCTGATTCAGACTCAGAGCAACACTACAGGACAGAGCAGAACTGCCCCAGAGGGTTTCCAAGGCTGTCAATCTTTGCAGAAGTGGACTTTCTCCCACAAAGCTGGTGGGTTCAAAGTGTCAACCTTCTGGTTAGCAGCCACGCATTTTAAATACTCTGCCACCAGGCTCCTCATAGTAATAACCACCACCTATTAAAAAAAAAACAAAAAAACCTATGCAGAGAATTAGTGAAAGCTAACAAAATGCTAAAAGTGGTCATATAGGAGTGCTAGGAGTACAGGTGACCTTTTTTTATCCTTACCAAATTTTCTGTGTTCTCATTCCCCTTTAATAGGGGAAATTGTGTGTATGCTTGTGTGTGTGTGTGTGTGTGTGTGTGTGAGAAAGAGAGAGAGAGAGAGAAACTGGGAAATTTGATAGCCGCTGTCAAGCTCCCCTGCTCTAATGCAATCTAGCCTTTGAAAGGTCCTATGATCCTCTTGTTTTCATACTAATAAGGCTCTTGGGACCTGTACCTCCAGGATTTCACCACCACACCAGTAAACAAAGCTTTGAGGGCCCCAGAGTCCTTAGTTAAACACTGTTACCCTACTCTGATGTATCTGCACTTACATAACTCCTAAGGAAACGCCAAATAGGATATGATCAGTATGGTTCTCAGATGCCAGTTTAATCATGTTTTGACTATACAATCACTGGATGGGGGAAAAGGGAGAGGGTGAAAGATGGTGATAGTTTTTAAGCAAATTCACCAGTGATGTCACTCCCTACCCCAAGATGAATAACCTGGGCTTCCAAGAACAGAAAAACGCTTTCCTTCCCCCAAGGAATCCCACTCCTGAGCTGGGAGGATAGGCTTTCCGAAAGAACCAACACAAAGGGCAACTAGCGAAGGGAGCCAGGCAGCTATTCAAAGCCTTCCCAGTGCACACAGGAACAAAAAATGTGGGCATCCCTCCTAAAGCTAACACCCAAGTCCCCCAGTGCTATTTGAGGCCACTTCATAAACAGTCACTGATGGGACAGCAGTGGTTCCCCACCTCCTCTAAGCAGTACACCCATAAGCTCAGGAGCCTGAGCAGTGGTGGCCACCACTCAACGGATGTAGCCTTCAGGCAAGAACGCATAAGGGCCTTCTTCTTCACCGGTCCCTCAACTGCTGGTGGGTCTGCCTGGCCCTAGAAGAGCAGCCAGTATGTATGTGGATGTGTCGTGCGGGGGTGGGGGAGCCAAAATAGGCAACAACAAAGCAAATCGGAGGTGGGGTCTAGGGCTGAGTCGACATGTTGGCAAGACCAGTCATGGCCCATGGAAGGACCCATAGGGCCCCGTTTCCTCCATTAACTCTTCTCTGGGCGGTTTCTGTTCAGGACAGCTTTTGGGGCAAACTCCAGCTTGTCCTTAAGGCTCACCACCTGGGTGTGGTCCTTGCCCAGCAGCTCATCTAGTTTGCGGTCCTCTCGGCGCTCTGAGATGCTCTTCTCTTCCTCCAGAGGCTGCGGATCCTTTCCCCGGATGAACCATTCCAGGTGGTAGCCCACAGCCCCGACCACGAAGGCCACCGGAAATGTGACGTAAGGAGCATAGGTACGCACCACGGTCCAGAGCACAGGCCACATGGCACCTGCAGAAGAGGATAAGGCAGCATTAGGGAGAAACAGGACCCCCTCTCCCATCAACATGGACAACCCACAGGGCCCTCCAATTACCAGGGAGCTTGGCCTAATTTACTGAGCACTCACCCCATGCAGACCACTGCCAGAGGGTACCTTGTTTATTCAGCAGTTGAGTCCCTGAAATGGTCTAGGAAGTTCTGAAAGATTCACTGTTGGGGAACAGAGGGGAGAGTCTCCATGTCATCTGCTACCCTTTGACTACTGTGGATCCAGAGATAACAGTGTTTCCTGTGAGGGGATCTCTAAGCTTTACTAAGTAGAACTCTAAGCCTACCTCTGACCCTAGGCCCTCCCTCGAGTTTGGCGACATTTAAAGAAGGGGAAAGAAGCCTTTCTCTGCTCTACACATGAGCACAGACACGTACTCCCCCCTGCCCCTGCACACAGTCCCATCACAAATGTCCTGGCCCCAGGATGATGACACGTAGTTGCTTTTCCTCATGTAACATGTAAGAAGCATATTTAAACAGCCAAAACCCTAACCCGTTACCCAAGCATTCTGGATTTTAGATAAACAGATTAAGGGGTTTTTTTTGTTTTTCCTATTCTAAACTTAGTTTTTCTAATACAGCAACGGGACAAACCTATACTTTACTGGCCAAACTACCTATGTAGGGTTTCCAAGGCTACATGGACTCCAGATATCCTATAAAAGTCATAAAAGTTGGAGGAACCCCTGAAACTAATGAACTATTGTTCTGAAATAATCTTTAAACCTTAAACCAAAAATGCCCCCAGAAGTCATCTGAAAACCAAACAATAGTTTAGCTAATTTTTTTTTTTTTTTTTTTAAAAAGGTCTGCCTTGACCACTGTGCTCTTTTAAGAACGATCTCCATGGGATCACACTGGCAACAGCAACTCGAAAGATTAGCTAGGAACCTTAGGGGGCAGTGAGTGTATGTTACTGAGGGAGGATCAACTCAGAAAAAGAGGCCAAGAATGGTTACACATCTCAAAGAACGTTAATTAACGTAACCAAATGGTATATGCATAAACTGTTGAGTTGGTGTGTTTTGCTATGTATATTCTCAACAACAAAAAAATAAATAAAATTATTTTAAAAAGAAAGAAAACCCTAGCAGCATAGTTCTACTCTGACACACAGGGGGCCACCAGGAGTCAGACCAACTCGAGAGCATCTGGTCAGTGTCTTATGTGCCAGGCCTTAAGAACTTTATATACACTATCTCACTTAAATCTCCCGTCCACCCCATGAGGCAGGTGGCATTATCAGACGATTAAACGTGCCCCAAAGTCTCAAGTACAAGATCATTCTGTCTGTACCCCTCCAGGTATTTCTCCAACTCGGTTCTCTGCTCTAAAGTAGACAATTGAAATTTCACCAAGATGACTTTCTCCTTCTTTCTCTTTGGTTCCAGTTTTATCTTTGGAAGAATCTTAGTGTTCTCTGGACCTAGGATTATGATGGACCATCATCAGAAAAAAAAAGGCAAGCCCACAGCAGCTCCAAGATCCCTCTCTTGGTTCTTCATCTCAGCATCAGGCACCATGTTGGACAATTTACACGAGTCATCACCCGATCCTCACAACACTTCTGTGAGGTAGGAAATATTAACCTGGATTTTTGTCTAAGGCCACACAGGCTCAGAGACTCTCCAACTTTGAAGCCTGTGTTGCTTCATTGTGTAAGAACACAATGCAGATATATGCCTGGGTTTTGTACATATCCTGAATTTAGGGCAAACTTCCTGCAGTTTTTTCCCCATCAGCTTAGCATTTACTTACCTGGGGGAGCCTCCCTTTCTGTAAACTCTGAGACAGGGCTCAGAGATTTGTGAAATTCTAATATTCAGAAGTTAAAAGAGCCATCCCTGAGGAATCCCAAACCTAGTACTTCTCTGTTTTCTTTCCTACCTTATAAACAAGGTCGTTTTCTAAGTAAACATTTCCCCTAAAGACTAACTCCCCATTCAGACTCCCAACGTTTGAAGACATACTAAGCATGAGTTCACAACTAATATTCTCTCTCTCTCATAGGCAGCTCAGAGTGTCTGTCGTCTTGTTCACATTCTACTCTTTACTATGTCAATTCATTCATTTATTCAATCCTCAAAACACTTTCATTGTGTCAGGAAATGCCAGGCTTACCCCTTGACTGCATTTCTCTTAAGAGGGCAAGAAACAGGTATGTGCTGTCGACCACTGTGCTCTATCCATTCTCCTTCGCCTCCACCCTCACCTGGCATAAAGTGCCCAAAAAAGCTTTGTTAAATCACAGCTCAAGCAACTCAGTAGTGTAAAACTACAGCAGTCAGCCACCCTCTCTCTCTGAAAGTGGCAGGAACACAGTAGATGCATTTGCTGTCTAGAGGAAGCTAGATACTCTATCAAGTCACTCTCAAAGTATTAAAGGGAAAGAAAAAGATGTGTCTCGCAAATACAGTGATGCATTATTTCCAACTTGGCATAGAGCTGCCAAGGCGTCCGGTAAAGGTCCACTGGGCTGCCGGGAAATCCACCCTTAATCCGGGACCCCAGAAGCTGCAGTAGTAAAGTCGAGAACTGCTAATTAAGGCAGAGGAGGCCTGAGCAGGGTAGGAGAGTTAATCCCGGCCGTCTCTCGAGTCTCGTTCTGGGGACACGGGCACGGGTGAAATCAAAGTCCAAGTATCTACCCTTCCTCCTCTTCTGGGTTCCTGGTCCTCTGCCCCTATTCCACCACGTTCATGGC